TTTTAATGTTCTGTTTTGTGTTTTTTCTTTTGTGTCTTCTTGGATTTGTATTGAGTTTTGTATTTTGTCTTTTAACTTAGTTCTGAATAAAAAAATAAAAATATTTAAAAAAAAAGATTTAACCGAATGCATTGGAAATCTTATCAGCTCAGGACAAGAAACGGCACTATTACTTACATCCATTTAAGGACCTGCCAAACCCTTTGTAAAGTATTTGTCCACTGCAGCCCCCACCCCACCCCCCCCCCCGACTCAAGCTGATCTTTCCTTTTGTGTTCTTGAACGTCTTTCCTGCCTTGTATCTCTCTTGTATTCTCTCCCCACTTCACTGCTAGAACGAGTATGTAATATTACATATATTGACAGCTGAGAGAATACCCAATTGCCCAATACTGGAAAAATGAAGGTATACCATCTGACGAGATTATAATTAGGAAAATTTTAGAATGTGCAGAAATGGATAGATTGACGTTAGAGATTAAAGAGAAAGAAGACTCAAGTCTGTTATAAAACATGAGTAAAACTTTTTGGTTTTCTAACTCAATGGTTAGCAAAATGAGATAACGAACTTGAAATTTATTACGATGATTTGATTTTTTTCTTTTGATCAATTGATCTGTTTTATAGCTTCTGTTATTCTTCTTGATCACAGTTACTGATTGTTATATTAGCCCTAATGAATACTGGTATCCGGACGCTAGTTTGCTTGCTAAAGCGTGAAATGTTATTAGGGACAACCCCATTGTTGTATCCATTTCCATCCTAAGACCTCTCTGAACCCTACCCTGAATCCCACTACCCATAATGATCGTTGTCCCTCCCTACCCTGAAAAAACTTAATAAAATATTGTGTGTGTGTGTGTGTGTGTGGGTGTGTGTGTCTTTGGTCATTCGGGTTTTCTTTAATTTTCATTAATGGCGATTGCGGTTCAATTAGTCCACAGCACTTTTGGGTGTTCTGTGTCATTAAACCTGTCAGAAAATAATCTCTCCTTTGCTTCACGCAGGCCCTTGCTTGAAACTCCGCTTTGGAAAATGTTGTTTGAGGGGGAAACCGGTGTTTATGGAAAGCCTTTTAATTTTCCACAAGTGGGCCCTTTAGCTCGTCTTGTGAAGCATCATAAACCATCCAGATTCCTCATAAGCCCTTGACCAAACAAACTTCCACTGACATTTCAAGAAGCACCACATCGAAGAGTTACTGCCTCTGGCAGGGCTCCAAGCCGGAGAATTGTGCCTCTGACATATTCATTTTTTAAGCCGCCAAACGCAGTGGGGGACTTTTTTCACACCCTTCCAAACGTTTTCAGAGTGAGCTCTGAGTTTTGGAAGGGGAGAGGTTTTCGCGAGCCAGATCTTAAGGAAACCTTCCGAAGCTGAGAAAAGAGTCAGAGAGACGATGGCATCCTTTCTTCAGCACCGCTTCGCTTTCCTTGATTACTTTAATTCTCCGATCAAGGTGGACACCTGCTCTGGAGACCTGTTTTGGAGACGTGGCTTTTCAAAGTGTCCGTGCTAAAGCCTCATTTAAAACAAGTGTCCTGATTCGAAGTTACCAATAAAGGAGAATAGAAATAGAAATAGAAAGAGAAAGAGTACAGAGAAGAGCAACAAAGATGATCAGGGGACTGGAGGCTAAAACATATAAGGAACGGCTGCTGGAATTGGGTCTGTCTAGTTTAATGAAGAGAAGGACGAGGGGAGACAGGATAGCAATCTTCCAGTATCTCAGGGGCTGCCCCAAAGAAGAGGGAGTCAAGCTATTCTCCAAAGCACCTGAAGGCAGGACAAGAAGCAACGGATGGAAACTAATCAAGGAGAAAAGCAACCTGGAACTAAGGAGAAACTTCCTGACAGTTGGAACAATTAACCAGTGGAACAACCTGCCTCCAAAAGCAGTGAATGCTCCAACACTGGAAGTTTTTAAGAAGAGACTGAACAGCCATTTGTCCGAAATGGTATAGGGGATTGGACTAGATGACCTTCAAGGTCTCTTCCAACATTATTATTATTATTATTGATGATCATCGCACAGTCAGCCAGATGTTCAGACTGGATCTGGCATTTTGTCTACCTATCGAGTCCTTCCCAAGGACCTGGGATAGGCAGATGTGGATGTTTGATGGTATTACAGATATCGTCGCAGGATAGAAGCAGTTCCTAGTAAGGCCGCCTTTTGCAATTGACTAATGGCGAATTTGTCAATGCCAATGGTGTTCAAGTGGTGCTCCAGTTGTTTGGGATTGCACCGAAGACGCCTATGACTATTGATACTACCCTTGCTTGCTTTTGCCACAGTCTTTCTATTTATTATTATTTGTAGCTCAGAGTTGAAATGAGGGGCCCTTGGTGCTCTCTGAGCTTGGTTGTTTTCTTGCAGACATTTCATTATCTGATGATGTTACTTAGTTTGAGTAATGAATTGTCTGCAGGAAAACATCAAGCTGAGAGGGCATCAAGGACCCCCTGATTCAAAGCTGCTTTTACAAGTTTCCTTTTGTGCCCCATCTCCCAGAGTTTTGCCGTGCACTCAGGATGTATCCCAACTGCTCGCAGCCTTGCCCAGACAGGTGCTCCCCAGATGTTCTTGGCTCCTGTTCCTATAATCGTCCAACTGGGTGCACCAGGGATATGTTGATTGAGATATAATGGGAGTTATGGTCCATTGCAACTGGAAGGGAGGGAGGGAGGGAGAGAAATGTGCTGAAATTATGAGCTTCTATTCATCCGTCAAGTGCCTTCTGCAGAGGAAGGCAAGAGGTGGGTGAGTCCTTGAATCTTCAGAAGATGCATAAAAAGAGGGGTTGGTGGGCAGGAGAGGGCAGATGCCCCCATTTTGAATCTACTCCCTTGTTTGCCCTGTTGATGGGAATGATCTGACTATTGGTATGAAATGAGCAAAGCAACATAAGAGTTCCCAGAATCCTCAGAGGTTTTTTTCTAAGCCTTATTGATCTTTTTCTTTTTTCTTTTTTGGATTAGAGAAGCTCTCTTCCGTATTGAAATTTGAGGCAGGAGAAGATTTGGGACGTTGGGTATTTGCATGTGCTTTCAGCATTTGCACAAATGCTTATGAGCTCCATAAGGGCTCATGGCCGCTCATGCCTTAGTCACCTCTTGCTACTTCTTCTTCTTCTTGTGCCCTATCCGTTATCGGACGTTGGCGATCATGTTGGCGATCCTATTTTTATCAGTAGCCGCACGAAAAAGTGCTGCTGAGTTTTGTCCAAACCAGTCCCTTAGATTTTGAAGCCACAATGTTCTTCTTCTGCCTGGACCTCGTTTGCCTTCCATCTTTCTCTGGAGGATTAAATGGAGTATGCCGTATTTTTCTGGGTGTCGCATTACATTTTTGTTTTTTAATTGTTTTGATGATTTCCCTTGGCTTTCCCGGGCGGCTTATCACCTCCTCATTTCTGATCTTGTCAACCCAGCTTCTAACAGCCGCCTGTAAATCCACATTTCAAATGCTTCTAGTCTCTTCAGGTGGTCTTCTGTCAGAGACCGACTCTCTACTCCATAGAGCAGGATAGGAAAAATATAGCATCTGACAAGCCTGATTTTTCAGTCTTAGGCTTATGTCGTGACTGCAGAAGACCTTTTTCGTTTTGAAGAATGCTGTTCAGGTTTTCTCTATCCTAGTCTTTATTTCAGTGGTCATGTCCCTCTTGCTTGGATTACTGTAATGGGATTTACATGGGGCTGCCACTGAAGAGCATTTGAAAGCTGCAGCTGGCTCAGAACACAGCAGGATTTTGCTACTGCCTGAGACCCCCAGCAGGTTTCCAAGTGCAATTGAAGGTGCTGTTTGTGATCCTTAATACCCTACATGGAATGGGATTGGGTTATTTGTGGGATTGCCTACCCCCAATGGCTTCTGCCTATCCTACCAGATCTAGCAAAGTAAGCATGCTTGGAGGTCTACCTTCTCTGTCATGGTGCCAGCCTTGTGGAATAGCTTCCCCCCCAAGAGATATGGATGGCCTGATCCTGTTGGCCTTCAGGAAAACAGTGAAGATCTGGCTCCCCCTCCGGCACCGAGGCAAGGAGGTTGATGGATCTGGCATGTGATAGTTGGTGGATGAGCATAAGTTTTATTGGGTCCTCAATAAGTTTATAAGTTGAAATGGTTCTTTTTAGTGTATATGTTTTTTATTTTGTTCTTCTGGGGGATGGGATGGGTGGATGGATCCCATAAATGTTTTTAGAAAATCATAACGTCATAGGGGTAGAAGGGACCTTTGATGTTCCTCATCCAATCCTCTACTCGGGCTCTTTCACTAGTTCTTCCACTGCTTAATCGCTCATGTAATCAAGAAATTTATTCTCATTTTGAACCTGGATCTCCTTCTGTAAAGCTTCAGCCCCTTGATAGCAAGTTTAAGTTACTGTAGCCCGGCCCTTATTTTGAAAGTGTGTCAACCTGTCCAGAAAGCAAAGAGGAAATTGAGATAGTCGAGATAATTCATGTTTTTGGGGAGATTGGGTATTCATGGCTTTCCCTAAAGAAGAGGTCCCCAACCTTAGCCACTTTAGCACTTGTGGACTTCAACTCCATGGCTGGCTGAGGAATTCTGGGAGTTGAAGTCCACAAGTCCTAAAGGGGCCAAGGTTGGGGACCCCTGCCCTAAAGCACCCATTTTGTGAATCCATAAAGCTTCTCATGGCAGTCGTTTTGGTACAACATTCGTGGCATGCTCTCAAAAATCCCCAAACTCAAACTATTACCTGCCTGGAGGATTCATCTTTTACTTCGGAATGGGTGTGGTGATTTCGAAGTTGTGACCTATGATTGGACGGGAGAAGAACTGGGTTGACAATGCTCAGATGTGTCAGACAGCTGAGGAGAGACCAAGACGGGGTACCAAAGCCAAGCGTGGCTCTAGAAACAGCTTCCCTCTCCCCACACACCTCTCCTCACTTCTATTCTGGCTCATGAGCCTTCAAGAATCCTTTGGAGGTTCCCTCAAGTAACTTTGACCTCCTCTCTTTGGTTACAGGGGGACTCTCAGCAAAGCACCATGTTCCATGAGGCGGCTCTGTGGCTGCTGGTAGGGATCCGAATCGCTGCAATAGCCGGCGGTGGCCCCGGAGGAGGCTATGCGCAGATGAAGTACATGCAACCGGTGGTAAAAGGGCCGCTCGGCCCTCCGTTCCGAGAAGGTAAAGGCCAATACGTAGGTAAGTGGCACCCAATGTGTGCAGGGAGGCCAACTTTGAGAGAGGACAGGAGAGAGTTTGTTTTGGAAAGAAATTCAGCCTATCAAGTTAACCTTGTTTATTTTAGCTGCGTGCTTTAAGATACCTTTCATGGCTTACGCGTTTCTCCTCTGAGTGTGTGTTACAGTAAACTGCTCTGAAAAGCTTACCAGATGCGGATCAAATGCCTTAGATATCTTAATTACATTTAAAGATGTCTGTCTGGTTTTCTCCAGCAAGATAAAGGGGAGATAAAACAATATCTTGATCGAACCTCTGCTGTCTGATCCCCATAATATTTACAACAATCCCTTCCCTTTTACAATGGGAACCAAGGTTAACCAAGGGACAGTTTGAGGTCCAGCTAGGGAATTACCAAAGGATAGGAAGAAGTTTCATTGGTCAGATTCATGGAGCACATTTACTGGATTAACTCATTCCTTGGATTGCTCACTTAACAGAATAACAGGGATCTTGGAGGTCTTCTAGTCCAACCCACTGCTCAGGCAGGAGACCCTATACCAGGGGTAGGCAACCTTGGCTCTTTTATGACTCGTGGACTTCAACTCCCAGAATTCCTGAGCCAGCATGGCTCCCTTTCCCTTTCCCCTCAGCATGGCTGGCTCAGGAATTCTGGGAGTTGAAGTCCATGAGTCATAAAGCGGCCTAGGCCTAGCCCAGACGTAGGCAACCTTGGCTCTTTTATGACTTGTGGACTTCAACTCCCAGAATTCCTGAGCCAGCATGTCTCAGCATGGAAGCCTCTTCCTTTCCCTTCAGCATGGCTAGCTGAGGAATTCTGATAGTTGAAGTCCACCAGTCATAAAAGAGCCAAGGTTGCCTACCCCTGCCCTATACCATTTCAGACTTCACTGAGTGAGAATTGAAACACAGGTCTAATTGTTGCATAACATATTGTGCCACAAAAAAGATAGCCACGTCTAGACCTAACTGTGTTTTGTAAATAGCTTAAGTGCAGGTGCTGGGTCTTTAAGTGACCTGGTTAAGGAACTCTCCCTATGCAGGTGGCTGTATCCACATGATAAACTTATCCAGGTCGGGTAACAATCTAAATATCCACAGAATGTGCTAGACTTGGTTAGTGTTAGCCCACATTTGGCCTTTGGTTAGGCGTTGTGTGCAAATTCAGAAAATGGGCCACTTGCAGTAATTGGTTAAAATCTACAGTATCTCGTGAATATAGTCACAAGTGTGCATCTCTCTAGCAGTGATTATCCAGGAATGACAAGTGTCTGGTGTGAAGTTTCCAAGAGAGATTTAGTTGTTCTGTCTTGACAGTTGCCAGGAAAAAGAAGTCTGAGGCATAAATGGAAATTAAAGAGATGAAGGCCTTCTTAGTGGTTGTAAAAAGAAACCTTCTAAATAAGTAGTGTGGAATTGGAAAAAAAAAATTGTTAATTGCGTAGAATGTTTTCAAAGAACAGGGAGGGTTTAGAATGCATTGTGATGCTGAAAAAGATCCCCACCCCAGTTTGGACAATTCTCAGACTTTTGTTGTTGTTAGTTGCGAAGTCGTGTCTGACCCATCGTGACCCCATGGACAACATTCCTCCAGGCCTTCCTGTCCTCTACCATCTTCTGGAGTCCATTTAAGCTCACGCCTCCTGCTTCAGTGACTCCACCCAGCCACCTCATTCTCTGTTGTCTCCTTCTTCTATTGCCCTCCATCTTTCCCAGCATTAGGCTCTTCTCCAGCGAGTCCTTCCTTCTCATTAGGTGGCCAAAGTACTTGAGTTTCAACTTCAGGATCTGGTCTTCTAAAGAGCAGTCAGGGTTGATCTCCTCTAGGACTGACCGGTTGGATCACCTTGCAGTCCAGAGGACTCGCAGGAGTCTTCTCCAGCACCCGAGTCGAAAGGCCTCCATTCTTTGGCACTCAGCCTTTCTTATGGTCTGGCTTTCACAGCCATACATTGCAACTGGGAAAACCATGGCCTTGACTATACACACTTTTGTTGGCAGGGTGACGTCTCTGCTTTTTAGTGTGCTGTCTAGATTTGCCGTAGCTTTCCTCCCCAGGAGCAAGCGTCTTTTAATTTCTTGGCTGCAGTCCCCATCTGCCATGATCTTGGAGCCCAGGAAAATAAAACCTGTCACTACCTCCATTTAGTCACTTCTAAATAAGAAGAAAATAAGTCAACTTTAAAACGTAGCTTACCCTCTAATCTGCAAGTGGACAATTGGTTACCTCACAAAGGAGCTACATTTGAGTATACTCAACTCTGGAGCCCGGGAACAAGCCTCAACAGTTCTGCCCTTGAATAGGATTTTACAGATTAAACAGAGCAAGACTGCACGGCCTATGCAATAGGCTTGTCTCATAAAATCACTGCTTAACAGACATGATTACCTGTCTTAGCCAGTAAATTCTATGGTGGCTATTCACTGCTTGTACAGGAAAATTTTGACTGGCCCACCTACCATGTTTTCTGGCATTTAGCCATTTCCCCCCTTCTTGAGGATGAACTTTAGATGAACTTTTCACCTAAAACCATACGGTCAAGGTTGACCATCTGATCCAACTCCCAGTGGACCCAGGCCTTCAAGATGAAGGGCCAAAGTCTGTCTTCACCCATGCTGATTTCTTGCACGGTTTCTGCTTTCCAAGATCTTGGAAGACACTTTACTGTTAATTTAAAGGCACTTTATTGTTAATAACAATAAAGGCACTTTATTGTTAATTTACTGAGAAAGGAGGCATAGAGGAACAGTTTTATGCAAGGATGATGATTTAAGTTAGGGGATCTTCAAACTTGGCAACTTTGCAACTTTAAGACTGGTGGAGTTCAACTCCCAGAATTCCTCAGCCAGCCCTGGCTGGCTGAGGAATTCTGGGAATTGAAGTCCACCAGTCTTAAAGTTGCCAAGTTTGAAGACTCCTGATTTAAGAAGACACATAAAGAGATTATTGAATGCAAGCAGAGCTGATGTGCAGGGATACCTGGTTAGAAAGGTGAATCGCTAGATAAAGATAAAGATTTCTCTGTCAGTCGTGTCTGATTCTAGGCAGGGCACGGTACTCATCTCCGTTTCTTGGCCAATGAAGCCAGCATTGTCTGAAAACAATTTCCGTGGTCATGTGGCCAGCAAGGCTATATGCCAAAGACGCACGGAATGCTGTAACTTTCCCACCAAAGTGGTACCTATTCATCTACTCGCATGTGCATGCTTTCAAACTGCTAGGTGGGCAGGGAGCTGGGGCAAGGGACGGGAGCTCAGCCTGTCGTGCGGATCTCAACTCTTCAACCCAGACGCTCAGCTCCCCAAGCTCAGCTTCTGTTCTGCTGGGAGAAAGACCCAGGAGCGACTTCAGAATGGTAAGGTGACCAACCGTCCTCCTTTAGGGAGGACCGTCCTCCTTTTGTAAGTTCTGTCCTCTCTCGAAAAGTGTCCTCCTAAATGTCCTCCTTTTCGATATTTGAAGACTATCGACAGTCTTCCCAGATTGAAGACTAATCTGTAAATCTCCATATTCAATCAATGCCGATCCGATCCGTTGCATGTGATGTGACGTATTTGTATTTGACATGACGATTCGTCAAGGCTCAGTACAGTGCGGCGAGACGCGATTATGAGACGCATGCGCTCCGCACAGGAGAATTGTTTTGAGAGAGTGCGCTGCGCGCAAGAGTGCGCCGCGCCCAAGTGGCTTTGTTTACTTCTTACCGAAACACGACACGGCACACATGCATGCATTAGACTCACTTTTTTTTTCTTCAATTTATTTGTGTCCTCCTTCTCATTGTAAAAAAGTTGGTCACCTTAAGAATGGGGACTATTATTTCTCCGTCCCTGGATTCAGATGAGAGCTGATCTCTGGTAGTAGCTGTATAATTAGACTTTGGAAGGGGCAACCCCACCATCAACTTCGCTGGAATTCATAATTTGGAGAGAGAGGTGGGGGCATAGGAACCCAGAGCTCAGAAGTTTACACCGATTTATTTGTTTGTTTGTTTTTATTTGTATCCTGCCTTTATTATTTGTACAAATAACTCCAGGCAGCAAACATACCCAACACTACCTCTTCCCAGTGGTGGGATTCAGATATGTGAATAACCGGTTCTCTGAGCCTGGGCAACAAAAAATTAGCTACCAGTTCTACCGAACTGGTGCGAACCAGCTGAATCACATCACTGAGTATAAGGTGGTTGGGGTTTGTGGTTTTTTTTGCCAGTTTCCAGCCCAAATGCTGTAAAATGTGGTCATGTGATCGCAAGGCATTGAAACAGCCATAAATGCTGCCAAGGCCCCAAAATGCAGACTGTGTGACTAATAAAACTTTGAATCTGGGTCGTAAGCAATTTTGGGGGGAGGTCTGTTGTAGCTTCCGGCAGTTGCTAAGTGACTACAAATTGAGGACTACCTCTACTTGGAAATTAACAACCATTTCCTCTTCCAACTCCATTGGAGTTGACTGCCAGATGAAATGTTAATCCTAAATGACCCCATTAAGATCACTGTGAGAGGGATCTGTAACTGTGAGAGGGATCTTGGAGTCCTACTGGACAACCACTTAAATAGGATCCAGCCGTGTGCTGCAGCTGCCAAAACAGCCAACACAGTGCTAGCCTGCATTAAGAGAGGGAGAGAATAAAAATCATGTGAAATGTTAATATTGTACCACTTTATAATGCCTTGGTAAGGCCACACTTGGAATTCTGCATCCAGTTTTGGTCACCATGATGTAAAAAAGATGCTGAGACTCTAGAAAGAGTGCAGAGAAGAGCAACAAAGATGATTAGGGGACTGGAGGCTAAAACATACAAGGAACAGTTGTTGGAATTGGATATGTCTAGTTTAACGAAGAGAAGGACGAGGGGGGACATGACAGCAGTCTTCCAATATCTCAGGGGCTGCCCCAAAGAAGAGGGAGTCAAGCTATTCTCCAAGGCGCCTGAAGGCAGGACAAGAAGCAATGGAGGGAAACTAAACAAGGAGAGAAGCAACCTAGAACTAAGGAG